AATATTCAACCAAAAAAAAAGTCAGCCCTTATTTCGACTAAAAAATATGCGATATTAATTCGAACTAAAATCTTGTTCGTTTCTTTTTTTCTTTTAATTCAAACTCTGCTTTCTACGCTCGATAAACATTTCGAACTTAAGCTCGCAGCGAAGAATCCAAGGGAATCATTGAAGGGACCCGGTACAACCTCCTGGGATGCTATCGTCGACGTACAGAATTTCCCAATAGGGATGCCGCGGGTGAAGGTGGGCTGTTGAACTTAATGACTATTGCAAATGGGGCTGGAAGCAGCGATGCTCCAGTCTATATTATCTCCAGTCCAGCGAGTCTTCCAAATCGAGAACGATTTCGCAGAACGATTGTACATTTACCAGTTCGACGTTATCTATAAATGATAGAGGATGATTATTAGCGAATAAAAATTTATATAAAAAAGGAGGCGAAAATGTGGAAAAACGATGATCGGTGGGGTGGTCAGAAAGAGAGGCTGGAATAACGGGAACGGTGATGAGCCTCCTTTCATACGGGAGAGAAAGTGCGCTTCAGGTGCGTGAAGTTGGGATCGATATTGCAAGCGACTCCCTGGGCCATGACATGCCCCTGCGGCAGCCATCGGTTGCACGCGATCGTGCTAAAATTAAATGATGAAATTCACTCCTTTCTCTCCCTCTCGCTCCTCCCCTTTTCACCCTCTTTGCTCTTTTCGTCTTATCAACCTTCATCTCTTTTACTCTCGTTCTCCTTGCATTCATCCCTCTCCCTCCTAATCTTATCTCTTTCTCTCTCTGTCTCTGTCTCTCTGTTATCTAGTATTTTTTCTATAAAAAATTTTTCTGTTTGTTGTTGTGTTTCTGTGTGATTTCGATGTCGTTTTTGTTCCTTTTTCTTTATTTTTTGTTTCTCTTTTTTTTCATTATATTATGCCTCTATTTATATCTTCTCTTTATTGTTACGTTTTCTTTTGGTCCAGACAATGTCTTTATCACTCTTTTATTTCATTTTGACTTTGTGTAAGATATGCGTTGATCACCTATCTTTTTCCCATTTCATCTCTCTTTGATTTCTACTCTGCCTTTTCTGTTTCCTCGTCTTCCCCCTTTTTCTTTATATACATTTTTCTCTCTTGTTTTCTCTGATGATGTCTTTGTCCCTTTTTTCCTGACATATCTTTCTTGATTGTCCACCTTTCTTCTTTTCTTACCCTTTTCTGGCCCTCTTCTTACATACTTCCGCATCTCGTTCCTTTCTTCTTTTCCCTCAACCTTTATACCTTTATCCTCTTTCATCTTCCTTTCCTTTATATTTCTCTATCCTTCTTATGCATATATATATCTTTCTCTCTTTCTCTGAATTTTTTCGTTCTTGCCCTATTTCTTTTTCATCTTACCGTTGCCTTTATTTCCCTTAGAAGAGACAGATTTCTTTCTTTTATTTCTCTCTATTCTATCTATTCGCCTCTCTCTCTGTATATATATGTATATATATTCTCTTTCTGTTGCTCTATGTGCTCCCTCTCTCTTACACTGTCACTCTACGTTCTTACCTATATGTATAGTATCATCCTCCTTCCTCGTCCACCTTTCTCTCTCATCCACGTTCTTTGCTCTTTTCGCCGTCCGTCTCTCTCGCTCTTCGCCATTTCCTATCCCTCTCTCACAGCGTTTCGTCATCCGCATTCGTGTCACGAAGCATGTGCGACGTTTTATCAGTGACGTAACGCAGCCGTGTCATTCAGGGAGCCATGTACGTAGTCGTCCTTGCGACGATTTGTAATGCAAACGGGGCCAGGAATTACGTTTACAAGTGGTGCATGCACCCCCCTAACCTTGTCTTACTCGTTTATACCGTTAATCGTCTTTTATCGTTGGAATTCCAGTTAAAATTAGCACCTAAGAAACACGTACTGATTTTATTAACACGAAGTGAATTTTAATGTCTTCCATAGGTCATTGATGACCCACGATAGTTATCACATGCAAATCTTCGATTGTTTTGCAAACTGTTCGCTAAATATCTGGAAAGTAATATTGTGGTAAAATATAGAAAAAATTTGTTTGATAATTAGTAAATATCAAGGTCTTCTTTCAGCGAAGAATCGTGTTGCACGATTTTTGTTCTTGCAAGTGATGTTGACGTAGCATCGCATCGCATTGAAAAACATTCCACGCTTTAAATCTTCGATTTCGGTTGC